AACTGGCTTGAGCTTTTGCTTGAGCTTTTGTTGAGCTGTTTCTCTCTTGTTTGAAAGACTTTTGTCTTGTGTAGTGGTTGACTTTTGGGTTTTCCAAGAAATTTACCAAAAAAGGAAATTTTTAGGAAATTTTTTGATCAGCGGAAAGAGTTTTTTTTTTTTATTAATTATATTTATATAATTCAATAATATCAATAGTGATTAATAAAAAAAGTTTAAAAAAATTTTTTTTTCAATATTATAAATTTTTAAGAAAATATCTATATCAAAAGATAAGAGATAAGTAATATGAATTATAAATTATTATCTCTATTAAATTTCTCAAGTAATAAAAAGATTTTACTAAAAAAAAGTTAAGATTTTTCTATTTTTCTTAAAATATTTTAATCTAATGTTTGCTTAAATAATGGACTTGTTGGATTAATCATTCAGATATTATAAATGATAACAAAAAAAATCTCTTTTGAGATTCAAGTTGAAGTAAAAAAAATATCACAATCAAATAAATCTCTTTCAAAAAGATAGTTATTTTTTATTAATTTATTAAATTGGTTTTCTTTTTCTTTTTTATTTTCTCCCTTTCTTTTTTTTAATTTAACAATTTATGATTTTTCGGGTCAATCAATAGTGAACCTAGAAAATAAAGGTTAAATCAATCTTCTAGAAAAGTGAAATATACTGTAGTTCTCTAAACCTAACTTAGAGTACTTATATGCAATATTGCTTTTGTAAAAATCTGTAATATTGTATTTAATTATATAAACTTCTCAATAAAGATAAGCCATATGGCATGGTTGCGGGTTAAAAAAATAAAAATAATAATAATAATTGCTTTTGAATCCTTCTTGATATACTGTATTTCAAAACTATCAAAAGTGGTGAATTACATTCACCCCTAGTAAATCATTTATTTAAAAGAAACAATCAGTTTTCCAACTTGTTTTCCTTGTTCGATCTTTCTAAATTGTTCCATAATGCGATCAAATGGAACAATTGAGTCGACAAGTGGAATTAGTCGATGCTTTTCAACAAAATTAATAAGTGATCGAAATTCCGAGGGACTGCCAAGAGAGGTACCCATGAGTGTGAGTGATTTCAAAAAGATATCTCTCCAATTGGGAATTCCTTTCGGTGGTCCGCGCGTCTAACAAAGAGTTTGTGAGATATGATAGAGATAATTTGTAATATTGATCGGGAGAACGCGACTTACTTCTCCAAAGAACACAAATCTTCCCGCGGGTTTTAGTAAATCAAGCGACATGGGAACTTGTTCACCACCAGTCGAATCCACAATCAAATCGAATCTGCAATCATGTGATTCGCTTTTTCTTAGCTCATCGATTCCTTTGAACTTCTCGACCCAATCGGGATCGGTGTAAAGAAATCCTTTGGCACCTAGTTTTTCTTCCAAATATTCGAGTTTGCTTTTGTCACCAGTTGTGAAATATACTTTTGCACCAATCTTTTGGGCTATCTGAATTGAAAATGAACCGCATCCTCCACCTCCGCCGGTAATCAGAACGGCTTCGTCAGCTTGTAGTCCACCACGAGATGTCAAAGCACGGTATGAAGTCTTTATTAATAATTCTTGGTGAGAATCATGTACATTTGTATTTAATTGAGAAATGTAAGCACAAATTTCTACCAGGCCAGCAACCGGAATAGCTGCTGCTTGCTCAGGTGTCAAAAATTCAGGCTTCAATACTAAATTTTCTGCCGGTACGAAAGCATATTCTGCAAATGTTCCATCGTTTGGACCTCCCAATACTTTGAGGTCAAGTGAAGGGGCGCGCTCATCCGTTCCCCATCCTAATCCTGGATAAATGATAACCATTTTTCCAAGGAGATTGTAATACTGTTCATCCTTAATCTCTTCGACCAAACCGCATCCTGTGAGAGAAGAATAAACGGATGTACAGTAATTTTCGTAAAACCGAAATTTCAATTTTACCGTCACTTCCTAAAACAAAATCTTCATAAACTTCGGGATACTGTCCCTGACGGATCCATTCGTCTAAATGGTCGAAAGAACGATCAAAAGTGATGAATGGAGTGAACTTGAAATTATAACGACGGCCACTAACCACGGTGATTCAATGCCGCAGCATAAATTCGCACACGTGCATAACCGTTCGGTAACTCTCCCAAGTCTTTGTTTTCGATCGAAACCTCGGGTTTTCCTTTATTGGATGCGCGAAGGACGAGTGCTCTCATTTTTGGGGCAGCTAGATGGATAAGGAATGAAAATTTTATTACGAATTTATGTCTTCACTATCTAACAGAGAAGAGCTTATAGAATAATTACGTTTTAATCATCGTTTAATTATGAATCACAACATTGATATATTAAAAATCCTTCAAATTCTAAATTAGATTCCGCAACCGTGTTAGAAAAGCCTGTTTATCGAAAGTGTGTGAATGAATACCTTAAGACGCAACGCGCAAAAAGAAAAAAAAATTTTTTTCTTTATTCGATATTTAATGATGCGACACATCAGGTTACGAAATATAAAAATATGTTTGCGAAAAAAATACGCACGTTGTATTGACTTTCGAGAAACTTCAAAGTCAACATTTTGAACTGGTTTTCGTTATGCTAGGCTCGTAGACTTTATTATGTATCATTATGATCACCACTCCTCACCACTAATGCGTAAAAGTACAAAATATATCATGTCGAATATAATTAACATTTTGCTTGAAATTATGCATGGATAAATATATGTATAGTTGTTAACTTGCTTAAATTATTTTTACATTTAAATCTATCTATCACCAAAAAGGACCAAAATTGTGCAACAATCGAAACATCAAAATTAATTAATAAATGTAAACCCAATGATTAAAGTTCGTTATTGTCCCGCACGCATCACCGTGAACCCGTCACAATAATGCATTTTTGACTGACATTGATATTGATCTACTCAAAGTTGGTGATGGTCTTCTTTCAATCACGGTTCCACCTGCCACGCCGCCAGTAATTGTCGTGGACATGGAAGAACTCATGTTATTAACATTTGAACTGGATGCAGGTCCCCTAGCAAGCACCTTCGGTGTAAGATATCTTATTGCTGCTATGTTTCCGCTTGCTTGTACTACATCAAGTGCGGTTTTCCCTGATTTCTTCATATCATTGACTACTTCTTCCGCCCAAGTGCCAACAGTTTTCGCTGAACTTCGCGTAATCGGTTGGGATGCTGCACTGAGAGTCTCTTCAAGGTTGTCGAATAACGCTTTCTCAACATGAGCTCCATTCTGTAACAATAATTCAGCCATTGGGAATAGCATCTTATCATCCTCCACAATCATCAAGGAGTTGTCAATATGAAGCAAAGCTAACAACAATGGTGTTTTCAAACCGTGATCATTGGAAACCTCAAATCGACGAGCTGCGTTTACGTCGGCTTTCAAGGCGATAGCCTGCATTGCTTGAGGTATGTCATTCGCTTTTACAGCTTCGAAAAGAAGATCAGTTGCCGTCTTGTCTTCGTCCACAAGTGAGAAATCAACAAAGGCCCTATCGACATATTTTGCTGTGATAAACTTTTGTTTTATTTCACGAGAGTCGGTGCTCGACGGTTTATGCATCCCTTTTGCAATTTTAGGAGTGGGTGACGGTGTTGGCGAAGGGGTTGAAGATGAAGATGTTGACGAGGTTTTAATCGACGGAGTCACCATATTAATAAGTTCAACCCATTCGGAATCTATAGAAGATTCTGTTTCCTCTTCTTGTTTCGACGAAACATTAGGTGCTGATGGTGATGCCATCTCAGGCTGCTTATCGGAGGGAGGTGGTGAGAGTGTGGCTTCCCAAATTGCATTAGAACGCGCATTTCCAATTGACTTTATTAACTGAATAAGATCAGGTGTGTAAGAGGTCGTATCCAAGGTAAGTGATCGAATCTTGGAAATATGAGTACCCAGACTACGGTGAATCCCAGAGCACTCTAAAATATTGAGACAAATGAATGAATGATAACGAGATTTTTTTTTTTTTTTTGAACATCGTTATAATTAGCATACCTATACATAGCACGATCCCTAAATTAATTGAGCACCATTCTGTTTTTTTTGCACCGCAATCGGCACATGATGCGTTCGAAATATCGACTCCTTTAATAGCCTCAAGAATCTTGACAGACTTCTTGTCCTCTAATTCTTGAAGGATTTGCCCTTCCGATTGAACAATTATCTGATCTCCGGACATAGATGATGCCCCCTTTTTTAAATCGGATTTCTTCTTTTCGGAATTATTTTGCATTGTTCCTCTTCGTTGAACAGCTTTCTTAGAAAAGAGGGCTCCAGCCCCAGTGACATCAGCATTCTGAGTCAGGACTTGATCTAAATTACGATAGCTACTTGTCCCATTGAGAAGGCTCTCGATTGCATTCGAAATAACGGCTATCCATGAATTCATATCTTCAGCCGATGTTGCTTGATATATGCGTCGATATTGAGGTGTTATCACTTCAAAACAAAATCTTCTATCAGAGCCTCTAGCTTCCCTTACGGTCGCGAATCGTAAGTTGATTGGTTCGTTATGTGTTTCAAGTTGTTTTCTCCAATTGCTATATTCACAAAGTTGTCCGCCGGCTAAGACACACCAATACCTACACAGGACATTAATTTACATAGCTCGAGTTTCTTTCTTTTTAATGATAATAATAAAATTATTCTGAATTAATATTTCTTACTTGTGCCAATTAGTTTTAGCTATAGGATCGACAGTTCCGTGTTGTGTCGCTCGTGATGTGGCAAAGAGGAAACCTTCTTTTCTCCTCCCTGCATTCAAAGTTGACTCGGAGTCGTGATGCTCCAAGTCTCGGATTCCCTTAAATCGATTCTGTGACGAGTTCAATGATCCAAATGTACTTGAATTCTGGTTCTCCGAACTGTCACTAAAATTATCGCCAGTTATTGAGTTAGAAGTTTCTCCTTCGTTAAAGGTCTCATTTATAGAGGGCGTTGCTCGAGTTTCCAATGCCCGGCGTCTTTCTTCCCTTTCTTTTCTCATGAGATGTATCTCTTTTGTTGATTCGGCGACATAAACCGCCAACTTGTCCAACCCTGGTTTCACACTTTGCATCCCCACGGCGGTTAGCTGAAAGAATGCAAAATGCTTTTCGGCAAAATTCGTTAAATGGTATAAAATCTCTTGATCCTTTCTACCTCCATGCAAATCTTGCATGTAAGCATAATAATCGAACCGCTTCAAGTCAAAATTTTTTCGTTTACTTTGGTATTTTGAATCTGATTCAAATTTTTTCTTTTCTTTCGCAGAATCCACTTTCAAAGATAAATACTTGGAAAGGAATTGATAATAATCGCGTGACTCCTCCTCAAATTCTTTCTTTTTGCTCTCGGCGACTTTAATGTCATTTTCGTACATCTTACGAAGGGGCTCTATCAGTAGATTAGACATCTGATTTGCGAAGCTTTCTCTATATGTTCCAATTTTCTTGTAAGCTTCTTCTAGATAACCATCTAGAATGGGCTGAAATGCCTGAGGGTGTGCGACGGCAGCCCTTCGTAACGCACCAATAAGTTCATCGTCAGCCTCATTATTATCCATAACAGTGTCGTGATAGGTGGTGGCAGCTTTTAGCACCCTTTTTATGTGGTGCTTCAGCGAACCGGTTTTCTTCTCATAGGAAGATAAGGTTGCCCGAAACAATGGGCCATCTTCGGGTTCATGCTGGAACATCACGTCATCCGATGAACGTCTACCTCCACTTGAAATAGAAGATGTTCCCGAAGATACACCGGGCACCGGAAGGTATACGTTTTCTGGGCTTGAAGGGCGAACGCTACGTGGAAGGTTCAGTGACCACGGTGTAGAGGTTGATGATGGCAATAGGGGTGTGCCGCTGACCATGCAAAATGGTGTTCCGTCAAGGGATTCGGAGCTTTTGGACGTGCGATAATAATGGCTCCGTGTGTTAGCTATAAAGGCCAGATCAGGTTGTTAGTCGAGGTAATTTCATTTGTTTATATTTTGAAAGAAATTTCATTCGTAATACCGGCGACCCAAAATGTGAAGGATGCCAACGACTGAAATGTATTATCTTTTGCATCGTACTCGGAAAACTAATGTGGATGCGTGAACTTATAAATTAAATATAATTATCGAGGTAACTTTCAAAAAGTACATATCGATACTTACACAGCAATAATTTCTCCAGCCTCGATAGACCTCATCCATATTATAAGGGGGCGACCACATCCATGTCCATTCTACCTCTGATGTTTGAGTTTCATTAGCCTCGTAATTTCCAACCAGAGTTACATTAGGATGATTATGAAGCTGAATAGATTGATTTAAAAAAGTAATAAGATATCCGAGCAGTTATTTTAAAACGTCCGGTCAAAGAATCAATGACTCTCTTCGTGTAAATTCGATGCCATGATCCAACTTCGACGACATTTCGATAGATATTCGTTATTATGAAGACCCCGCCAAATACAGTTCGCGAATCACAGCAATTGTTGACACATTCACTTACATTAGGATCTTCATTGAACTCTACGGTCACTATCCTTTCCAACTCCCTTTCGTTTGCTGCATTTATGAAGGTGAGACCTTTCACATCCGATTTGTTCCCCCCACATTTTCCAATATTGAACTTGAACTTTAACTCCAATTTTTTATCCTTGGCCAATTTAAGCAAAAACTTGTTCGGAGATATTGACTTTACGTGCGGATCTTGTATAAATTCCAACAGTTCTACTGTGTTAGGAATCGCGGCAATACCAGTTGATGTGACTGGAAATGTAATGTATGGATCATGAGCAGATGTCGAAACCGCTATTTCTGTTATTTGAACTTAAAGACGGTTAACAAGTAAGTCTAACAGTCAAATGTGTAATATAAATTCCGTTTTTTCTTAATTCCAATAGAATTATTAAAGCTTTACCAACGTCCAAACTACTCACATCGATCTGAATTCTTTATATACAAAGTTGGATATTCGTCCGGGGACGAACTCACATTGCCCATGATAGAAAGTGAAATATGTGGCTGAAGCTATGTTATTTTTTCCGTGCCACGGATTGACGGAAGAAATGATATTATTTTAAAGACACGACGGATTTACTTAATTGACGAATTCAATGTTTAAAATTTTTTACGTAAGAGAATGAATTAATCTTAAGCATTGGCACGTATTTTTAAACCCTTTCTGGCAACTCAATTAATCCAAATTATTTGTTTGTGGGTGCACATTCTTACTCTTTCCAAAAATAGTAATTCACCATATATAGCATTGGCTAACCAAGAAGTCAGGATTACGTACATGTTGAGTCAACGCCGTTAACATGTGTAATACAATTGATGCAATTAATATCATAGAGGACATTGTACCCGTGCGTTAGGTTAATTCTTGGCCAATCAAATTGAAACGCCACTCTACATGCGGTAAGAAACTTGAGTGGTTCCTTAATAATAAATTTTATTTAAAATTTAAATATTAATAATTATAGTTTTTGAAATTTTTATTTTTATTTTTTTTAATTAAATTACTTAATATAAAATACCAGTATTTTTTTTTTTTTTTTTTGTATACCGTAGCCAGGCTAGATCATGAGTTTATTAATCAATTAAAACATAAGTACATTTTCATTTGAGCAACATGATACATACTATAGTTAAACTATTCTTCTAATCTAACAAATTCATTATAAGCATAAAAGCCTCTAAGTTCAGCCTTGGGGACAATATTTCATTCCACAGTGTCTTTGGATAAAGACTCTCCTAGTCCACTGCATCATTGCTAACAGGTTATCACTGCCGTATGTCTGATCAAGCCACTGGATTATAGGAAATTACAAAAGGATGAATTGAAAAAAGGAGAGGGAGATATCTAAAAATGTCTAAGTAGACCACAAGAAAATGAAAGAGTAAAAAATGAAAAAAATTATTTCCAGCTTCCTCCAAAAACCTGCTTCTCAAGACCTCTTCTCAATAAAAAATATTTGATTAGGATATCCTTTCTTTTCCTGACCATCTGAGGAACTTATCTATTCTTGATCTTGATTTCCTTCTTGTGTACTGTCTGAGGAAACTTATCACCTAGTGGAAGCCTTTATTTCCAGGACATACTTGGTCCCAACCTTCTTTGGGCAGTGATTTTTTATACCTCTGCAATAGAAAAGTGACTTATGATGGACCTCAAGTTCTTATATAACCTAGTAAGGACTAGATCATGTTGTTTCAGTATGATACTTTCTAGCAGTCATACCTAGTTAAAGGAATTTTACTGATGTATATCTTCCATTGCCTAAAATAATCTTTCCTCAAAAATCTTTTTACTTTACAATAGTGTGAGGGTACCAGAAGAGCAGTGGGAATCCTTGTCGATTATGATATCTTTCAACAACTTCTGAGGAAATGGATTTTCAACTATAACCAAAAGGTTGAGCTTAGCAAGAACTAGAGACCATTTGGTCTTATTGCCTAACTGGGATAAAAAGGAGACCTTGGTCTTGAACTTTGCTTGACCGGAATGATAGAAAAGAAAGATCTCAGCTTGAACGAATAGCAGCTTTTTTACTACCTAGAGACTTGTTGCTTATATCTTATTGACCTCATGGAACTTGATCTGTAGGTTAACTCAATTGGAGAAGTGGGGTGAATACAGGGCACCAATCAACTCTTTCTATCACTAATGACGTTATCAAAATACATGAGGTAACCAATAAGAGCTTGTTTATATTCAGTTACTAATGTGTTTTGTGTCAACCAATCAGATGCCAGGTAATATTGTATTATCAGAAATTCAGGGTCAAACTGAGGTAGGCAAAATTCCCCAAGAAAACCATGAAAAATAGTAAACATTTTAAGAGGGTATAAGATAGTATGTGAGAAGGTGGAAAATAAGCCTTTCCCTACCAACAGAATTTCTATATCTTGTCGCTTCCAGCTCTGTAAGGTGACACTCCACTTGTCAGTCCTTTTACTTTCTAGAATCTTCTTGCCCTTAGTAGAGGAAGTGCGTACTTGAGTCTTTTCAGGTCACTAGAGACTCAAGTTTTTATTCAAAGGAGTTTATAAACAAGTAAGGAAAGGTAAAGGAAATACATGAAGACAAGCTTCAAGTTGTTTTAATGAAAGTATAAAGACTTTATTAGCAAAGAAGTATAAAACTTCTTGCAAACATCTTTTTTGTATATGGTCAGAGGATCAGCAGAAAGAGTTTTTATAACTTGATTTTTTAATATTTGTTAAAAAATAATATTATAAATATATATATATATATATATAATATTTTTTTTATTTATATTTATTATAATTAATAATATTTATAGAAAAAAAAAAAAAAAAAAATTATGATACAAAGTATCTACTGAACTCACACTCTTTCTTTGAACATACTCGGTAATTGGTGACAGGCCATAATCACCAGGATCAAAAAAAAAGGTGTACTTCTTTTTTCTTGAAACTAGCAAGTTCATCATGGCATGTTAGTTGAAAGGACTCCGGAAGGATTGAAAATCCAATTAGGAGTGTCTAGTTTTTTCTAGATAGTAGTAGTAGTAGAAATTTAATCCAATTGGATATCTCTAGGCAACAAGCCACCTGATAAATCTGTTAAAGGTCGGGTTTTAGGGAGTTTCATTAACATAAATAATATATAATTTCACATGACAACCTTTGTAATCTCTGAATTAATTTGTATATTACTTTATCAAAGTTAATAAACATGGCTGAGCTTCCATTCCAAAAAAAATTTATGAAAAAAAAAATTTTTCCACTAATCCTTTAACCTCATATAAAAAAGATGTTCATAAGAAGTTTTTATACTCCTTTATTAATAAAATCTTAATAATTTCTTTAAAACAACTTGAAGTATGGCTTCAAGAGTCACTTCTATCCTTTCTTTTTTATTTACAAATCTTTTCACTTAAAAACTTGATTTTTAATAACCAAGAAAAGTCAAGTAACATCTTTGATACCAATGGCAAAAAAGTTTCCAAAGAAAAAAGAACTGATTGCGAAGTACCTAAAGGCCTATCTAATCTTTGAAGAAAGAGGTATATAAAGGTTTTTGATAACAGAAGGGCTTGTTTTTCCCCTTCCAGTTACTTGTGGGCCTCTTAGAGCTATTACTTTTATGATTTTCTGAAGAATTTTGCCTATCTCAATTTGATCATGAATTTCAAGTAGCACAATTTTCATTAAAGATGATTTGTTGACATAAAACATATTAGTTTTTAGAATATAAACAAATTCCTATTGATCACATTTACATGTTCTGATGATATCATTAGTGATTGAAAAGAAGATTCCAAAAACATTTGCTTCAAAAGCTCAAGTCCCTTAATAAAAACTTCTTGATATCAAAAGATCAAGTAATAGGTAATATGGATTGCAAACTCCCATCTCTTACTTAAGTTCCTCAAGTGGTAACAAAATTTAATGGAAAAAAGCTAAGATCTAAATGCTTTTTTAAGATATCCCAATTTGGAGCTCACTTAAATGAAAAACCAGTTGGATTGACTTGTCCAATACTATAGATAGTAAAAAAGAAGATTTCTTCTGAGGTTCAAGTAAAGCAAGAAGACTATCTTAATTAGGTAGATTCCTTTTGAGAAGAAGTTGATTTTATTTTTGAATTTTTTTGGTGAACCTTGAATTTTCCCCTTTTTCCAATTGTTTTTTCCTTTCCCTTTTTAATTTAGCAATTCATTAATTTTTGGACAATCAATAGTGACAAATTGTTGATAATAATTCTGTTAGATAGAGGTTATTACTAATCTATTAAGGAAGTGTAATATTGTTCCCAAAATCTGACTTGGAGTACTTTTGTATGAAGATGAGCTGGTCACTTTGTAAAAGTTTATAAAATATTATAGATTTACTTCAATTTTTCAATAAAGACAAGCCATTGTAACATAATTATGGATTAAAAATATATATATACATATATATATATATATAATTATTGTATAATTAATATTATTTAATATCCTGCAGTAATAACCTGCAGGTAGTAATCACAATGGATCGAATCAGATCAGATTTTAACTAGATTCGATTTGATCCGATTTTTATGAATACAAATCAGATATGGATCCGATTCGTTTTAAATTGATCTGATTTAATTCGAAACTATAATAGTTTAATCCGATCTGATTTGAATTCAAATTTGATTTGATTTGATCCAATCTGAATCCGAATCCGAATCTGATTTGAAATTGAATATGATTCATATTTGATACAAAAACAACTTGAAACTGATTTGGTACATTTTGAATTTATTTCAAAGCATGTTCCACTATAACTGCTTTAATTTAA